TAATTTATGATAGAAAAGAGCTTTCTGATGCAACAAAACGTTGAAGACCTATGCTAGTATTCTGCTTGTTTACAGGTTGGAGCTTTTAAGTTTTTCTATCTCAGATCAAAGTATAGTATTTGCCAAAATACCTGGCTTTTTTCAGTTGTGACAAGCCTCTCGTTGGTCTATTGCTACTTCCACCAAAAATGCTCAAACTAAATTCCTTGGTCCTGCCAATTCAAACCTTCACAGCTAGGACATGCCATGCCACTTTCATAGGAGCAAATCACCCACATTCCCACCATATTCCATCAGTGAGAAGTAATTTTCAAAATTTTGACTCCCAAGAGAATATTTCCCTGATCACTTTAATCTTAACTCATTCAAGGTTAGGGTTAACAGTTATATTCCAATCCTATCTGCACAAATTTCAACCTAATGTAACCCTCTACTTCAAGTGACTCCCGGACCTTGTAAAGAGTGAACTTTACTTATGTATTACCTTTACGCTTCTGCATCAGAGACCAGTATCTGTTATATTCTTGTCCCTTCTAAGCTGGAGTCATTTGACTGAGAATCAATACAATGAATGAGTGCTAAAAAGTTCTCAGACCAGCAAAGAAGAGATTTTTTAAAAAATCTTATATTTTGTCAGATTTTGGAAGTATTATACTGGCTTGTTTGTAATTATAACCATTATACTATTTTACTTTGGATTGTTGTGCTATATCTGCATTGTCCCAACATTTCTAAGCTGGAATCTGTCACAGGTTTACTAAGTTTACTAAGCCTACACACGAGATGGGAAGTTGTGGATAGCCATGATTGCCTATATCCTGAATGGATGTGGTACATAGAAGAAGATTGCTACTAAATCAAAAATTTTGCTACTTATGATTTAACATAAGTTGATCTAATTTGTTTTTTTTTTTATATATGGAGATATATAGAAATATGCCTGCATACATTCATACCTACCTACTTACACACACACACACATATATATATTTATTTGTTTATTGATACATGTCAGTAAACCTAAAATATATGTCCACTATGTAGACAAGATTTTTATTTTAGTGAAAACCTAACTAAATCAAAAAAAAATAAACTCCCATTTGTAGACGTTCTTGTAGAATACAGTAACAACGTTTTCAGCACCTCATTGTTCAAAAAACCCACTAACAGAAACTCTTGCCACCTTAATTTGAAGAGTGAATGCCCACTCAGATACAAAATAGCAGTGATAAAAAACTTCCTAAAGAAAGCACTTGAGAATTCATCTTCTCATCTGCTTTTCCTTAAAGAACTCAACAATGCAAAACAGACACTAGTTAACAATGGTTTTCCTAACCACCTCATCGACCACTAAATTAGACTATTTCTTTCCAAAGTAAATAACAACAATACTGGACATACAAAAATAACATAAATATCTTCTACAAAAGCCAAATGCACATCAGCTATAAACAAGATGAATCTTCACTTAGAAATATCATAAAGAAATACACTAACCTAGTTGACTTGAACAAATAAATGATCTATTACAAAAAACTTAAAACAGCTAACCTTATCCTCAAAAATAACAACACACCTGCAAAATCAAACTACAAAGAACAAACATTATTTATGACTTCAAATACCTTTTAAGGAACTGTGTTCCTGATCAAACCAAACTCATAAATAATTACATTCATTACACTACTACATGCCTATCCAAATGACTTACATTACACCTATCTGACCATAGCTCCATTAGAAGTTATTTAAACACACACACAAGCTTACCATCCGAAACATACTAGTAGAAAATACAAGCATAATTCTCTCAGCCACATGTAAAAAAAGATTAAAAATAATTGAAGCCTTAATAATAAAAATGAAAACCAACACTCAATAATATTAACTACAAACATGGTTACAACATTCTGACTGAATTCAGAAAATAAGACATGACTAACTCTAGATACATACACACATCCCATACATCCAGTTAAAAAGTAAAAATAAAATCATCCTTGATAATGGCTAAAAGTATCTGAAAGCATTCAGAATTACTGAACATTTGAACAGTTTCTACACACTGTGTCTAGAAAAGAAAACACTTGTTCGAACACAAGAAAAATTATATAAAAAGCTTAATTGCAGCACATTGTCTGTCATCTTTAATGAAACATATATAAAAGAGGGATTGCTGCCTAAATATATTGATGTGTATATCACAGGACATAATTTTCCAGCCAAAGATAATTTGATTTTCATGAAGTAACATTTACTGTTTGGTGTAAAACTTTGCAGAGAAGAATTTCTTCAGAGAATACTATTTTGCATGAATCAAATGCTTTAATCCACTTGACTTTTGTCCTTTGGGACAATTCTCTGTGGCAAACTTGGAGCCTTAAACCTAAGCTGCCTGCTGATGAATGCTGCTGCTTGTCATGCTTAACTGCACTCACTGAAGCATTTTCTCTTTTCTTACAGTTGCTGCTGTTGAAAACTTGCTGTCATTTGTCTTACTTTCTTTATTAATGACTCCCATATATTTATTTCTATGCTTAGTTTAGTAAGGAGATCCACATCCCAATTTTTGATGGAGTTTTTCTAACTGCCTCAGTATTGATTTTTATTTCTTTATCAGCATCATACTTGGATGGTACTATCTATACACTCTGTCTATAATCAAAGTGTCACTTCCAGGCTGTTTCTGTCTAGTGTCAATATAATACCTGTGTAGTATCTGTGTATTCTACCTATGATGAAAATGTTTGTTGTCAACCCTTGGCCCAGAATCAAAGTCCTGATCAGGATCTTTTGCAGCTGCAGATCAAAATGTCAGTGACTAAACAAAGGCAGGCTTTCTGACTGAATAGCAAAATACATTGCATGAACGGTAGAAATGCAAGTAATACTTCTGTATTTACTTTCCAACTCTTTTCTATTTTCCATTGTGACATGCAAGTAAGAAAACTTTAACACAATAAGTATCAATGAAAGAGAACATAGAATTTGAGTTGTGCATTTATTGAGAGCATTAGTGTGAAGAGACTTGAAACAACAGAAATGTGGTTCTCCAGAAGGATGCTGAGAATACCATAGACTGAACATGTGAGCAATGATGAAGTTTTAGAAGTAATGGGAACAAGGAAACTTACACTTAACATCAGAAAGGAAAATTTCTTGGATGCATATTGAGGAAAGAAGGATTGGAAAATGTGATACTCACAGGACAGATTGAAGGCATGAAGGACAGGAAAACAATGCATAACCTACCTAGTGAGCTTGAGTCGATGGATAGCAGAACACGGTTTAGGAAAAATAACAAAAAGACAAAAATTTATTAAGAGCTACAAAGGACAGGTAATTGTAGAGAGCCACAACTACAAACGTTCTGAAGGGACAAAACACATTGAAGAAGATAGACCCCCACCACCTATGTTAGATATAGGGCCACAGCCTCACTGTGTTTTTTACAGGGGGGGAGTTACTAGCCCAATACCCAACTGGTTTGAATTTAGAATTGTTCTTTTCCTAGACTGGTTCGCAACCAAAGCAGTGACAGATTCATCCTTTTCCAAGGGTATTTGTGTTAAAGCAAACACAACCTTGAATTTGAACTTGGCCTGATGATCCCACTTTCAATGACAATAATCACAATGCAGCTTGCACATCCAAAAGTGATATAAGCAATGCAAATTGGAATTCAAATCTAATTTGCCAATTCTATTTTTCAGCCTGATAACCTTTAAGCTACCACACATTTCTTGTACATGAGTCTGAGTAAATAAAATGGACACAAACTTTGATATTCCATGCTATGAATATTTTTCATTTCTTTCGTAAATATGCAGTAGTGTATTTTCACTGGAAAATAATTAATTCATTTTTATCGCAAATAATTTCTAATGTCTATTATGTTATCAAAACTAACTCATCAAATGTGACAGGAATCCAATATAATAGATTTAATCCTGAATAAAATCAATATTACACATTATTTATACATGGAGATTGAAAATTTTCCTTTTTTACTAATGTCACAGAGATAAACATTATAATAATCTTGTCCTATCAACAATATTTGAATTAATTCCTGATCACTGACAATCCCTTTATTTCTCATTTGCAATGCATTTCTATTGTATTTCTATTTCTGGTTGCAGTGCCTATGGTACATCTCCATTGAAATAGAGTTTTTTATGATTGAGTGATTCATTTTTTATGGCTTATCAACCCCTTGTAGGTTATTTAAAGCCAGAAAATATTTTTAAATTTAAAAAAAATTTTTTTTTTTTTAGATAATAATGTTTTGGTGATACAAGTTTTATTACTTAATTCATAGCTGGGGGAGAAATGGTGGATTCATGCCTAATTTGAATTTGATAAACAAGAAGTTATAATATGGGCATAAAGTGGGGGATCAATTCTGTATTATAATCAATATACAAACTGATCCCTCATTTTGTGGACACGTTAGTTTCTGTACATTTATATTCCAGAGAATGTAAATAGATCTAAAAGCCTGTGTAGTTAATCAGTATTTAATTGATTGATTTTCTATGGTTTATCAACCCTTTGCAGGTTATTTAAAGCCAGAAAATATTGATTGTAAGAATTTTTTTTTAGATAATAATGGTTTAGTGATACAAGTCTTACTAATTAACAATATCGTAATATGAAACGAAATTTTTTTTAAATTATTATTTCTGGTTGCAGTGCCTATGGTATATCTTCATCTAAATAGACTATCAGTTTTTTTTACGATTAATACATTTTTTATGGTTTATCAACCTTTTTTAGGCTATTTAAAGCCAGAAAATATTTTTATATTGTAAGAATTTTTTGGGGAGATAGTAATAATTTAGTAATGCAACCTTTACTCATAGCTGGGGGAAGAAGAGATCGATTCATACCATTCCCAAGGGTATTTGAGTGTAACATATAACAAATCCAATGTAAACTGGAACTCGGCTGTCCAGTTTCCAATTCTGATTATCCATTACACCAATCGCACATCCAAGCTTACAGCACCAGATATTCCCAAGTGGTCACCCATTTAGATACTTACCAGGCTCAACATTGCTTAACTTTGGTGATCGTCTGGGGGACTGGTGTTTGAACATGATGTGGATATGAGGCTTCTTTTTTTTAAATCTCTTTGTTATACTAAGAACCTTTTTTGCAGATGCTACTAGATTCACATTAAAAAAAAAAAATTAATAGTTGAATGAACTTTTGTGGTGTTTTCAAATCAGGATTGAAACAATTATTGAGAAACCCATTGGCTCAATTTGTTACTGTTGCTTTTTGCCCAAACTATATTGACTCTTCTGTTCTCCCTTGGTGTCGGGGAGGACATCAATTGTTTTCATTTTTTTTATCTTTTCACATTTTTATTTGCCTTTTGTCTTGTTGGTATTCATTTTAGAAACAATGAAATTTTTTAAACTTACTCACATTTAAAAAAATAAGAAGTTCCCATGTTAATATTTTCTTCTTTATATTTCTCATTTATTTTTTTCACACACCCATCTTGTGGTTCCCCTACAGTTTTTTATAATTTCCTTTTCTCTCGACTCTTCTTGCTGTTTTTCTTTTCTTTTCTTTTTCTTTTTTCAGTATAAGTACAAGTATTTATTGTTAACAACTACAATGGCTTGTGTTGTATCCTTTTGTTGTACAATTTTAGAACTGGTTGACTTTTTTTCCTCAACTTTCCAAGACAATAAACACACAGAAACAAAAATATTTTCATTCTTATTTTTTAAAACATGACATTTTTAGTTTCTAGATTGGAGCTGGACTTAACACAAGATAAACATCACTTACAAGAAAAAAATAATCAAAATATTTTGAAAAAAAATATGCTTATTTCACAAAAATATTTATTTCAAAAACAACGATTTTGAATAAGTTTCAGTCATCTAAATCAAGGCATGAGCATTTCATACCACATCCCAAATAAATCTACTAACAGAAAACAATGTTCCTGCTTTCTTTCCCAAGACCAATGATGAGTGTTTATACCAATGCCTTCAGTATTCATAGTTGGGATAAGAATGATCTTGAAAAAAAGTCAACATCAACCAAGCATTACAAGAAATAGTTAAACCTTCTCAAAACAGAAACTATGATCTGGAATTGGAATAAAAGCAGTGATGCCACCTACCCTGAATTCATCATAAAGATCCAGGATGTGGAATTAGTAAATACTAAGCACTTCAAATACCCTGGTGGATGGATCAGATAACAAATTTAGTATGAGAGATAAGGAAATTGAACAGAGAATGGGATGTTATCAGAGTAGTTTTCTCCAACAAAAAATGTCAGTTTCAGAAGGAAATGAGTTTAAAAACAGTAAATATAATTAAAACAGTCATTAAGACAGATTAATGAGGGGAGACTATACTGATGACATAGGTATTCATCGTCAGGATGAGAAAGGTGTTAAAGAAAAAAAATTAATATCCTGTACCAAGAAATAGGAGTCAAGATAAACATTTCCATAACAAAAATTGTTATCTGGAATTGGAATGAAAGCAGTGATGGCACCTACCCTGAATCCATCATAAAAATTCAGGATATGGAATTAATAAATACTAAACACTTCAAATACCCAAACAAATCTACTAATAGAAAATACTATTCCTGCTTTCCCTTCCAAGACTAATGGACTGTTCAGACTCTGAACTATTACCAATCACAATGAATGGCTGTTTCTTCAGGGAGGCTCCATATCTTAAGCAACTATTAGGCCTTAAACTCAACCCAGACTTCAAGAGAAACTTGTACATATGATCTATCACTAAAGATGATAGAAAAATGGTCCATCCCCTGTATTGCTCCAGTAAGTACCTGACACCTCCTTATATCCTCTACCTTTACAAGAGCCAGATCAAGCCTAAAATGGAGTAATGCTGCCATATTTGGGCAGGAGCTGTCCGGTCCTCATTTTCTAGTCTTGAGTACAAAAGAGGCAAAATGTTGCATGCCTCTCACTGATTTATCGCTATTTCCATGAAATGTGCTCAGACAAACCACATTCTTTAGTTTCACCAGTTCTAACTTCTGTGGTAAAAATACATCATTGTAGTGAACCACCCTCATTCTATCCATAGTCTGTTGATGAAAAGTCAGTAAGCTTCTTCCTACAAGCCACTGCTCTGTGGAGCCGACATCCAAGAGGATGTTTTTTCAATCACTACAATCTTAATCTGTTCAAGTTAACCACTATCTTCCCCACATAATCGCAAAAAATGTGCCTCTTACTCTGTAACTCTCTACCTTATATGGCTCTCAGGATTTGTACAGTTTGAACCTCACTGTAAAAGAAAAAAATATCAACATAACCAAGTGTTCCAAGAAATAGGACTCAAGTTAAACCTTTTTAAATCAGAAACTATGATTTGGAATTGAAATGAAAGCATTGATGGAAAGAAGACATTGTCAATTCTGGAAAGAGCAATAACAGTGGATGTAAGAAAACCTATTTTCCTGAAAAATTGTTTTAATAGAAAGATTTTATAAATTATAACCGATAGTAGCACTGGCTGTTCAGTCAATGAATGTTGAATGTTTCCTTATAAGGAAACAGCTAATGTTACCATTGCCATATTACTAGTTGGCCAAAGTTAACAATTTTTTTAAAGAAAAACATTTGAGTTTTATCAATCCCTTTCATGCCAGTGTATTTTTTCACTGATATATGTAAATTCAATGAGATTCCCTAGAGGCTAAATAGCATTGCTTACAAGCAGTTATCAATGATTGCAGTATGTGGAGAATAAAATGAAGACAGAGTGAAAATTTCAAGAAGGGGATGTTACATTTGGTGCTTAATAGATAAAATAGTGAAAGTGTTAATTAATGTCTTTTTGTGTGGAACATGTACAGAAAAAAACATTTATTATTCACTCTAAGAAAACTAATTATGTTTTAAAACAAATTGCATTGAAACTAAAACTGAAATAATTTGGTTGCATATTTTCTAACAAAAAGCGGATTATTTTAACCAGCAATGTGAGTTGAAAAGGAAGATTTTATTAAACAAATATGCCAATACATTCATTCATTCTCATGATAATATATACAGTGACATGGCAAATACTAAGAGCAGATATAGATATATATGAAATTACTTTTAAAATGCTTGGAAATGTATATCAAAATTATTTTACCTGTAGCATCAAAAAATGTCTCAATCAAGTACCTATCATGCGTCCATTGATTATTGCAATATTTGTCCCTGTGATATCAGTTATTGATGACCACAAGATGACAGGAACATATGTATAACCAACTCCTATATCACTACACCACCATCCTGTGTGTTTTTGGAGCCTTTTATATTCAATATATCAAATGGTTTTTGACATTTGGTTCTGATGGAAGCTTTGTTTCACTTTTTCAAAATTTAGTGTTTCATTTCTGAGATTATTAATTGTCAATATTCATGAAGGATTTCAAATTATTATTCTCATCTTGGATGATATACAAGGTGGATGCAAGGTCTGAAAATGTATTGCAAATAAATTTACTAGGAAAATGGATTGGAAATGATTTTACTATGAAAATGCATTGACCAATGATTTTTAATATGAAAATGCATTGACCAATGATTTTTACTATGAAAATGCATTGGCCAATGATTTTTACTATGAAAATGCATTGGCCAAATGATTTTTACTATGAAAATGCATTGGCCAATGATTTTTACTATGAAAATGCATTGGCCAAATGATTTTTACTATGAAAATGCATTGGCCAAATGATTTTTACTATGAAAATGCATTGGCCAATGATTTTACTATAAAAATACATCAAAATTCATTTAACTGTCAAAATGTATTGCAAAGGCATTATGAACATACCTGTCATTATTGGCATGCTTATAACAGTCTTAAAGAGCTTTATAAAGAGATTGAAAGAACTGAGACCATCTAGGTAACAGCAACATTACTAAAATCAGCAAAACAAATGAGGAGTATGTGGTATAAGGAGACCTGCTGTCACTTGAAAGAGTAAAAAAGAAAGATTAAAATTTAATAGTATTGAAAATTAATTTTTTTGAGTTAAACCTTTTTTTTGTGTGACTTGATACAAATAAAGTACAATTCTTTATTTGTGGTGAGAATCCTGCCAGACATGTTGAAAAGCCTTGGATAATGGCTACTCTCCATTCTGTTTCTCATCAATTCTTTTCTGCCTAAAGCTATGACCTCTGCACCTCAACATGCCCCATCCTTGTATGAAGCAAACTAGTTTCACCCACTGACTCCCACACCCAAGTCTAGAGTTAACAACCACCCTTCTTCCCACTGGACAATTGACTACTGCCAATTTCTAGGGCCTTTATTAAAATGATGTCAGCCACTGAGAATGCCTCCCTCTACACCTTAATGCTCAATGGTAGTGATTTGAATATTAACAAAAAAAAAAATAATAGAAAAGAGAAGAAAAAATCTACTGCACAACACTTTATGCTTTTTGTCATCAGCCTCAAGGGAATTTAGATTATTAGACATTGCTATGTTCATGTAGAATATAAAGACAAGTGTTTGAATGCTTTTTAGTTTTCACTAATTTATTATTTATAAAACACATATCATGTATTACACACTTTGAGCATCATGCATACATACATATTTAATATATACATATATATATATATATATACATACACACAGTGTATATATATATATATATATATATATATATATATATATATATATAAACACACATTAGGTGTCCATAAAGTTGGTGTGCATTTTAAAATATTTATAACTTTAAAGTGCACACAAACTTTATGGATACGCTATATGTGTAGATATATATATATATATATATATATATATATATATATATATATATGGACATTGTGGTTAATATTGGGCAGTGTCAGTCTGTTTCATGCTTGAATGCAATCTTCAGATGGCTTAATTATTGTGCATATATATATATATATATATATATATATATATATATATATATATATTATGATAGTGTTAACGTATGCTATATTTATGGGTTAGCGTGCTCAATATCAGTGATAGAGCATATGTAAATATAAAAGTGGAAAGTGAGGTCAATACCGAGCAGTGACAGTCTGTTTCATGCTCAAACGCAATATTCAGGCTATATGGATTATATATAAATATAGACATATTGCACCAGTTCTCTGTATTTGGTTCTTCAAAAAAGTGTGGTTGGTTCTGCACAAACCTTCACTACTATAATCAAATCATATGTGCCAGGTAGTTTGGCTGTGCATTTCTAATAACTGAGCTGCAGGCCCTCATATAACATATGGGTATTTTAAACCCCCTCAGCAAGTTCAAGATGTTACAAGAGTAGCTGATGTGTACATGCATGCACAGACCAACTCATCTCATCAAAGTGGAGAAATGCTCATATGGCCTATATTGAATAATCACCATTAGTTAGGGTGTGTAGGACACCAGAAAAAATTAAAAAAAAATGTGCCTAGAAAGGGCTCTATAGCATGGGAAACAGTAGAACCTCAGCAAAGGAACATAATGCTAAAAGTTAAATAATACCAAGTCTTTATATATATAAACTGATTCACCATATATATATATATATATATAGTGAATCAATTTTTTTCAATATGATTCTACCTGTGATAGCATTAGTTACCTAAACATGTACAATTATAATAATTTTCTGTGTATTCCTATGACTATGGACTAAATAGTAGAGTAAACTAGGCTCTTTAGCTATGATTGGCAATCAGTCTAGGTGAAAGACAACTTTGAATTCACTGATCATATATCTGTTCATTAAAAGGAAAAATGTTTTAATGTACGTATTCAGTAAATCCTACCTATGATATTATAAACTGCTTGTTCTACAACGTCAAAGTTTTATAAAGTGCTTTCCACTTGACTGTCTGATTGATTTGCAGATTATTTAAAGCCAGAAAATATTTTTAGAATTTTTAGGGGTAGATAATAATGATTTACTGGTATATGTCCTACTAATTAACCCATAGCTGGGGAGGAGAAGAAGCTGATTCATATGTTTCCCAATTTGTGTGTAACTGAATATAATGAACCTGGCTTTAATTGAAACTCTGCTCTCTGATCTCCAATTCTGAATGGTTATCCTTTAAACCACCCCCACTTCCAAGCTTACAGCAGCTGCTATTCCAGAGTGGTCACCCATCTTGGTACTGAACAGGTTCAACATTGCTTAACTTCATTGATCGTATGGGAATAATGTGATATGACTATAAGCCCATTACACCATCCACATGTCAAAGATTAAAGTATTTGGTATTCCTAAGCAGTCACCCATATAGGTAATGACCAGGCTCAACATTGCTTAACTTCAGTGATTGTATGAGAACCAGTGTTTCAATGTGATATTGTCATAAGTCCATTACACCATTTACATATCAAAACTTACAGCATTTAGTATTTCTAAGTGGTCACCCATCTAGGTGCTGACCAGGTTTAATAATGCTTAACTTTGGTGATCATAGGAGAACTGGTGTTTCGATGTGATATTGCCATAAGCCTCCATTTGTCTGACAATGGAATAATAAAGAGAAGAAATAAAATTGCTACTTCTTAAGATTGCGTGTTCCCACCCTGCCATTGTCAAAATGGTTGTCAGTTTCAAACACTGGTAGAATCATCCCACATCACTATTGGCAAAGAATCAATAACGGATTCAATAATTATTCCCTAGCCTACTTGTAATTCCTGGAATTTCCTTTTGCGTCCTTCTCCACCCTCCCATGACTACCCTTAGGCTGCAGCAGAACCTTCCTCTCCCCAGGATTTTTGTGTTCCCGCCCTCTGTATTACTTCCTACTGCCAACTCTGTTTTACCTGTAACTGATTTCACATTGCCACTCTACATCCTCATTCATCCCATATCCGGCCTCCCTACACATCCCCAATCTTACCATTCATATCAGGTTCACCCTTAAAAAAAAATGTATCCTTGACTTTCTGCTGACTGTCCCCTTCCTCTCTGTAGGCCTTCTTCAAAAACATCTAAGTTTTAGATAATGGAACTTGCCAGTCTAGTCCAATGGTTCAGTATTGGACTGATAGAAGTTATGGAACCAGTAACAAAATGTCTAGAATTGTACTTTAGAATACATATGGATGTTCTTTCTACTTGACATCTGTTTTAGATTTTTCTTAATAGAATTTGTCAGTGCTAAATTGCGCATTTTGGCTTTGTGGAGCAACAAAAACAGCAACCTTGGTTATTTAGCTGAGAAAAGTGCGAAAAGGAAACTCACCAAGCAAATGTTACAAAGCACTTTTTTGACAAACTGCTGACAGCTCATTAAGGATGGGGAGAGTTAAGGGTATTTACGAAATTTGATTTTGTCTGGCACAAGGCCACAAATACAGAGTTTCAGTGAAAAAAAATTGAAGACACTTTACGGTCTGAGAAATTATAAAACTGAGAAAAAAACCTGCTTGGTGAAAGAATGAATATGTTAGGAAGAAATAATATGACAAAACATTCATATCTCGGGTATTTACTCTAATCATTTTCATTTGGCACAAGAGGACAATTATAGAGCATCCTATGAGAAGGAAACATGTGACAGTAATAATGGTTTACAAGACTCTATGGCAGTGGTTCCCAAACAGTGTGTTGTGCCTGATAGGTGTGGCAAAAGAGGATAGCAGGTGAGGCAGAATGATTGAAAGACAATGAAAGATTTAGAAGCAATTTAAAAAAATTCATATGCCAAGAATAAATATGATTTCCAAATTTAAAATATTATGGATTACTTGCACAAGTCCCAGTATAAATAATTATTGACCAATTTTATCAGCGTGATATTTTTGCATTATATCATGTATTAAGAATACAGTAACTATGGTCTGCAAATTGGAGGAGAGAGTTATCAATGATAATATTCTGACTTTGAATCTGCAGTTATCTCCTTTGGACCCTCCCTCTGTTTTTTATTCTTAAATTTACTTTTTATCACATAAAATTTGGCAAGGTGCAAGCAAATTTTAATTCCAAAAATGCAGCCCAGAGAAAAAATGTTTGGGAATCACTGCTCTATGGTAATGTGCACTTCTATTTAAGTTAGTCTGAAACAAGGCTGTAAATGAGGAGTACCAAGTGAAGTTCAAAGTAAAATTTGTTAACCATTACAGCATATCAAAAGGAAACTTGATCTGATTGGCTTCCAGTGTTCTTGTTGACAGTAGGCAGAATAAAATTGCTGTTATAATTAAATAGTAGTATACCACAGAGCCTTTTTTTCTTTTTTTTTTTTTTTTGGTGAAAGAGTCTAGTTGTGTCCTTAGTAACAAAGAACTTTCCTTTTATGTCTTTAATCGAACATCTGTTTAATAGCCTTGTGCCAGACTTAGTCTGAGTATTTTTTTTTTTAATCAATAAAATATTGACAGGTCATTTCAAATGTCATCATGAGTTAGATAAGTGATTATTAATAATCGAAGGGGGTCAGTGCACCCAACTGGCTGCTGTTAACTCTCAAAAAAGCAGCATGTGTTCTTAGAAATTAGTGGAGGCGCTATAATTCTAACAATATTCCATTGGTAAGAAGAATGTTCCATTTGGACAAATTTTTTCAAAGAGTTGCTAATTTATGGAGAAGATTCCCAAGAGGATGCTTCTCTGATCACAACATTCTTAACATCTTCAAGTCTAGATTCAGCCATTATCTAGCCTTCATATTCTACAATTCTTATGTTCATAAAAAAACTGCATCCAATAACCTTCTACCTTGAGTGGCTCTTCAGTCTTAAAAACCATGACACTAAGATGATTTAACTCTTTGAACCCTGATTTAGGACAAGCCACAACATTTTATATATACTTGTTTTTTTTTATTCTATATTTAAATTTTTAAATGTTTGAAAATTTAACCACAGCTTTCAGTGAGGTAAGAGACAGATTCATGCCTTTTCCAAAAGCGTTTGTGTGAAATTGAAGGCAACAGAATAACTTGGAATTTGAACTCAGTTCACTTTCTGCACTGATATCCGTTACATTACCCACACATGTTGACTGCAATTTGAGATTTAGTATTATTATTTTGGTGAAGTTGTATTGTAGACACTATGACCAAAAATAGTTTTTTTTTTTTAAATATATATTACTATAGGTTAGGTATTTCAGATAACGATTGTTGCAAAAAAAAATTAGGTTTTCTAAAAGTTAAAAAGAACTATCAGTTTGCTTCCAGTTTGTAAATTGATCCTATGGAAGCCAAAACAAAATATGCTCATTCAATGTGATTTCTTAAAATGTAAAGAAAAATATAAATTTTAATTCATAATCTGGAGTGCTTAATTATCTTCTGTCTTCCTAAACTCTGTTTTTTTATTGTCCTTTCTTCTCACTAAAGTCTTCTCATTTTCTTTTCACTCCCAGTAACCACTTGCATCCTAGTGGCATTATCATCATCCTTGGGGCAAAATGATTAAAAAAAGAAAATCATGGGATATGAGCTTATTTTGTTTTGTTTTCTACAGTGTATCAATTTACTATAAATTTACATATGAAACTGGATCCCCCATTAACTTCTATAACATTCTATAAAAGATCCCTTGTTAACTTCTATAAAATTCTATAAAAGATCCTCTGTTAACTTCTATAAAATTTGATAACATATTTTTTATTTGTGATCTAGGGTGTTTAATATGATAGTCATATAGAAAAAAAACATTTTGAAAAAAAATTAAAAATTATTATTTCTGGTTTCAATGTCTCTTGTTCAACTCCATTTTTTTTTTTTATAAATATTTGTTGATGTTTAGTACAGTAAAGGAAATCTTATATTTATCATACCTTTTCAGGTCTAGAACGACACTTATGACAGTTTTGTATTAAAAATTAATAAATAAAAATGGTGCTAGTAACAGTTGTATTAGAACTAAATGCAATGCAATATTTATTATTTAGCAATATATAAAGAAATAAATATGGAAATATTTTTTTATTCATAAATTTATAAACATTTACTAAATTATTAAAAGATTCTAATCATCCCGTTTTTAAAACAATAAACATTGCTGAGGAGTGAAGGTAGTTAAAATAATAGTGGTGTCAAGGGAAAAACTGTGCTTTTGACACTCTGGGTTTTTTTGCTTTTTGTTTTATGCAGACATGAAGGTCCATGTTTGCCTAGGAATGCTTACTTCTTTTCTTCCCTCCTAAAGTATGGTAACCGAAATTTAGCCTCTCAGAGGAAAGCTTCCTGTTTCCACCAGTTCCAAGTCATCCTCTTCCTTTCACAATTATCATTACTAAAGTTACTGGCTGTGACATTCCCAGAGGAATGTGGTAGTGGTGGTGAGGACTTACTGGCCTCGCCCTCCCTTCATACCTCTGCCTCTCTCCCCACCCAGTACCTCTAGTACTCTCCTGTTCAAGGTCTTCTGCAAACTGATACTGTCTGGTGTTTGGTGGCGACTGGCTGGCTGTGGCTGGTGGGCTGGCAGACTCGCAGTGGTATATTCTCTTTGCCTTTAACCTCATACTAGCCTTATGCTTTTGTGTTACTTTTTTTTGGTTATTCTTTTCAAATCCCACACTCCCTGCTCCCCTAAAAAAAATTTGCTTTTCTTTATCACCCCGGCCCTTTTCTGCTACTTACCCCAGCAGTCTGCCCTTGTCCCCATCCCTGCTTTTTATCCCCTCCCTACCTCCACTGCTCTATGGATGTGGAGACAAGGGGTGAGGGGAGACAGTTTGGTGGCCATCAATGGTTGCTGTGTGTGTGTGTATGTATGTGTGTGTGTGTGTGTACACTCTTCATTATAGTGTGAGCAAGCATGTGTACCCTTCAATATAGTGTATGTGTGTGCATACCCCTTCATTATAGTGTGTGTGTGTGTGCGTGTGTATACCCCTTCATTATAGTGTGTATGTGTGTGCATACCCCTTTATTATAGTGTGTGTGTGTGTGTGTGCGCGTACCCCCTTCATTATTGTGTGCGTACCCTTTTCATTATTGTGTGTTTGTTTGTGTGTGCATACATCCTTCATTATCATGTGTGTGTGTGTACACCCTTCATTAATGTGTGTGTTTGTGGACACACTTCATTATTGTGTGCACGTGTACATCCTTCATTATCTTGTGTGCGTGAGTGTACACGTACACTCTTCATTATTGTGTGTGTGTGTGTATGTGTATACCCTTCATTATCGTTGATTTCCTTTTTCCAGCTATGCCTGTTCTGACCAAAACCATGCCCCAC